CATTTTCCATTAAGTTCCTTGGTGCAGCAAATAATTTATTCAGCATCCTACTACCATCTTACATATCTTTATTTCTGCACAGGGCAAAGAATGCTTTTTTTTTTTTAACTAAACTACCTTTTCTTGCATATTAAATAGGAATGAACTAATTTTATTCTGGTGATTTAGCTGATACTTAACTTTATTTGCATTGTTTTATTTCTACCTGTGCATATAGTAAATTGAGTGAAAGTAAATAAAACATTGGAGGAGTGAATAGTTTTGGAATTGTCTGCTTAACTGTTTCAGCTAGGAGTATTGCATCATTTAATCATATAGAAATAGAAGACTGTATTTTTAGCAGTTGCCTACTTTACTTGGTCTAGTATTCATGTATATAAAGATCATATGTTGAACCTATCCTTTTCACTACCTAGTATACATCTTGTGGTGGCATGTGGGGTAATATTTTAAGACAGAATGCAATATAAGGGGGTGTGGGGGGAATGATCATGATTGCATACTACTTGAATGTTGTTTAATTCCACCCACCAACTTGAACTGCTGAAAGGCAGGCTACTTTTTCATTTCAAAATATGAGCTGCCTGATCAGATATGTGTGTAATTTCTGTGAATTCTGCACAGAATGTGAAGTTCTCTCCCACGCACCCATGTTGCTTGGCAGCTTTGAAATTTCACCTAGCATTTATTCCTATTTATGCAGTGGGCAAAAAGAGAATGTTAAGTCTATCCAGTCTGCACCACCATTCTGTGAATGTTATAGTGTTTTTTTCTGAGCTTTTCATATAAATCGATTTTGATATTAGTGTGCTTGAATCTGGTTGTTCAGATTCCTTATAAAGCTATTAGAGGTAATTTCTGTAGCACATGATGTAAAAATTGTTTGTCTTTTTTACAGAAATTCCATTTGTTGTTGCCTTGTCCACTTTGGCAACATATGGGAGGGCTGGGGTATTTTGGTATCTATTCCTAGGAAAGAAAGGAATGGAGACAAGAACATGATAAGAATTAATCTAGTTTTTATATATTATATGTGGAAGATGTGTAAATCCTTTTTCTCTTTCTTCTTTCTTTTCTTCACATCTGTGTGGGTGAATACTTCTGCAAATCCTTGGCGAAAACTTTAGAAATCTTTGGTATGGTCATTTTTTTCATTAGAACCCAGAGTCATTGACTACATTACAAAATTATTAAATGGGGAAATTACAGTTATCCTAATTTTTAGAAAAATATTATGAAGTTTATAGTAAATTTTGGGGGAAAAACATGAAATGTGCACTAGATAGAAAATTCATAATGGAATTATCTTTACACTTAAGAAGGCTATGGATTTTACATGATACCCCCTTTTTAAATAAGTAGCTAATACCAATTAATAAAATGACATAACTATTTTCTGATTTTGGTTGAAGCATTTTAATAATTTGATGTTAGACTAAATTGTTCCTAAATTCCTAATTTCAAAGAGTTAGTATTTACCTTTCCACTCTTTTCAAATATAGAAATGCAAAGTGAAATCTAAAAATAATAATAGGCACAAGTAAAAGAAGGCATAATTTGAAACTTTTAAAGGCATGCCTTGAAAGTCATCTATATTAAAATCATTTGTTCTTATTGGGTTTAGTTCTTTGTTGTTGCAAACTTAAAATTAAATACTTGCAGAATTATTTGCAGTTTCATGTCATATCTCTTAAAAGACTATTCAGAACAGCACAACTTTAACTTTAGATTAAACTTTACTATCTTAAATGAAGGAATGTCAAACAAGCCCACTTGAAGTACTCATTAAATGATTTTAATATGTAGGTTGGACAAAATATTTCCTAAAACATGCATGCTGCAGATTGTAAAACCACTAACTCTAAATTTAGTTCAGAAACACATTGACAGCTTATATAGTTGCAGTATTAACTGCTGCTAATATTAAATAATATTCTAAAAGATAGTTCATTAAACACACACTCCGGGGCCACCACTATACAAATTAGTATCTAGAATCCATGTTCAAAATGTTCTCAGTATATTGGCAAGTATCAGCCATTAAAGTCTTTAGATGCTGTATTTGATCTTAAAACTTCCAACAATTTAGTCTATGGGATATTTAACAGCCCTGTACAAAATAAGCAAAAAAGGTGATTCCCAGCATGCAGGATCAAGAACAAAGCACGTTTTCCCACAAATTGGGGGAAAAAACAACTGCAAAGTTTTCAAGATTTGCACAGTTACTTCAGAGGCTGCTTCCCAAATAGAAAATGGAACAAAATGCCTGTCAATGTACATATATGAGACAGTTGGGAACAGTTTAGAAATAACTCTGCAAGCCTGGAAAAGGTGCAATTTCTTTTAATGATTTAAAACATGCCCCATACTTTTTTCAAAGAATTTAATTTACCATATTTCAAAATTTCCATCTCAGATAATAGGTCTCTTTACTGTAGATAATTATTTAAGACAGGAATCTAAAAAATGCACAACTCGCTTAGAAAGTGGAGCATACTGCTTCCTTTTCGCCTTTCAGCCCCAGTCCAGGAGCCCTCAGGCAAACCTGGGCTTGCTTGCATATTAGGCAGATATATTAACCTCTAAGCCACAGGTCACAAAATAGTTTGTTGTGAAAGCGACTGAAGGCTCCTGGATTGGGGCGAAAAGGTGAAAAGGAAGCAGTATGCTCCTTCCCATATTTGGGTAGACCAGGTTGCTTCGATAGAAAACCCATTTAATCTCCCCTAGCACAAGCTGACAAAGTGAGGAGAACCTGTGGCTAATATATCTGCCTAATATGCAAGCAAGCACAGGTTCGAATCCCAGAAGGGTATGGCTAGCTGATGAGAGCTAAATAGCTTGAAATAGATGTATCCTAGTCTCCCTTATATAAATTTAAATTTATATTTAACACAAAATAGTTTGTCGTGTAACTCACCCATGAGAGACTTCACCCCAGTGCAACTTTTTCCTTACCAAGATCTTTTCTGGATTTAATTTTAGTTTGTTCTCCCTTGTGCAGATTAGGCAATGTTCAAGGATGTTAATAATTTACATAGAATCAGAAAGAAAATAGCAATTGAGCCAGATGTCATCAGCATACAGACACAGAATGGCCTTATAGCTCTAGATGCATTGGAATGAAACTGGTTTTCTGAATCCATTCAAATAGGGAGTTTCAGAACATTGGTTTTCTTGGTAGATGATGCAGGAAAATAGACAAAGGAAGTGCTCCTGGTGGCTTAGAGGCTCACTGCCAAATAACCAAACCTATCAGTTTTATGTAGCTATTGCATAGCATAAGAGTTTCTCTAATGATACAGAAAGCCACCGAGAGCACTCACTTCCAGATAAAGCTCCAGAGTAGAACTCCTTAGCTATTTTTTCTAGATTACAAGTAAACAGTTCACACTCAGTAAACATGATTGACTTCTGTTTGATCAATTTCCTCTTTATCAAGGTTATTTTGTGTCTCACTTTCCTCACCTTTATATCATATATAAAATGTTACTAATTTTCACAAAAATTTGTCCCTTAGTTCTGCTTATTTGTCTCCCCTTATTTGCATAGTTTTAATATTCTTGGATTTTCAGATTGAACACAAATTATTGTGTTATTTAATCAACTATTTAGCAATAGGAATAGCACTTAGACTTGCATACCGCTTCATAGTACTTTACAATCCTCTCTAAGCGGTTTACAGAGTCAGCATATTGCCCCCAACAGTCTGGGTCCTCATATTTATATGCTACACAGAGCCTCAAAAGGATATGGATATCTTAAGTATCAGGTTTTTTTCTAACTGATTCGAAAAGAACATTATCTTAAGCTACCAACTGGCAAAGCTCAACCTGCTACCAAATTTTTGGAGACATTCCATGAGAATAGTACATCAAAAGAATTGTTCCAGAGAGAGATTCTGCCTCTGTAAAACAGCCACTTAGTCATATACTTTTAAATGGACGCAGGCTATGTAAGGCACAGAGATCACAGTGAAGAATCAGATATGTAGTTGAAAGTCTGGTTTTTCATGATCACCTGTCCATTTATTTTAACCCATGTATCTCTCTTCCATATGCATATTCTGGCAAGTGGTCTGGGTCTAGGATTGCTCTGTCTCTTGGAGAAGTAGAGTCGAAGCATTAACGAAGGACTAAATATTAGCAGAGTTTTGATTAGCGCCTTAGCCCAAACTGCAAATTACATGCATGTAAATGCAGAGATGAGCACTCAGAGATGAGACAATAACATTCCATTTCATATATATATTTCCTCATCAACATTTTACCACAGCTTGTCCACTTCCTATAAAAGTGTAAATAGAATTGTCCCTATCCTACCCCTCCCACTCATTTGAATGTCCCAGATTAGTAGAATCGATCACGTGTTTTGCCTGGAGATATCAAGTACTCTTTATATAGAAATGCAAAATAATCTATCAGTTTGGTTAATAATCATATTTAAAGGCTTTTTTAAAAGACAAATCATATTGAATTATCGTATTATCTGTGCACATTTTATACAGCCATGATCTTTCTTGAAATGCAAAATTAGTAATTCAAGGTAGTCTCTGACTGTGGGCATTTCTAATGTGCAATTTTGTAACCTCCTAGTTTGCCTTTGCTTGCAATACTGCAATGCTATTATGCACTTGATTCCTTAGCTTGCAAACAGCCATTAAGTGACAGTAATGCACTGTAGCAAGAATTGCTTATTTTTGAAGTATCAACCGATAAAAAAAAAAAAAAGCCTCCTCTAAGAGGGTTCTGAATCATATTCAGTTCTGCTTGTATGTTACAGTTGTGTGCCTGTTAGATTTAAATTAGTTTAAGCAAATTGTGCTAAAATTTATATTATAATTCATAAGTTTTAGAGAGCTGTTAGAACTCCTATAGAAATTTTGCTTTTTATTTATGGATTTTTTTCAGCATTTCTTGAAACAGCTTTAAATAATTTTGAAGTGTTCTGCTATGTAGTGAATTGAACCCAACAGTTTTCTTTTTGTTTTCTGATTTCAGTGAAAGAATTTCTAGCCAAAGCCAAAGAAGATTTTTTAAGAAAATGGGAAAGTCCTGCTCAGGTAAAGAAGTAATTTAAATGTCACTTGTTATTTATTCTAATTTATGGTATTCAGGAATAGAGAAAATCTCTTTTATATGAATAATCTACTGCATTATACTAATAAACTCCAAGAAGAACAATGGATATTGTGCTAAATTATAACAGTTGTTGCCATTTCATGTGTCTATTTTTTACACACATCCTGAAGCCAATTCTCAGTTTCATTCACAATCCATGTTTGCTGTAAAACCTTTGGGCAAATAAACATTTTTGCTGATTAATATTTGAGTACATATATTGTATGGCAAGATTTTTATTTTATCTCTAGCACATAGTGTTCCAACGTATTTGTTCAAACCTCTTTACTTTAGTGCTTTGTTGAGGCAAGTTGATATATTTCAACTCTTTCTATAAAATACCATCCACTAGAGAAGCGAATAAGCATATGGGTAAATATTTGGATCCTTAAACTGTTCATTGCCGTCCTACTGAAGTTTTCAGTTTGATGATGGCATAGCAGTGGAAGCAACATCTGCCTCTGAAATGATGATCATTAATATTTGCAGCAAAAGCAAAACTTTGCCACATTGCCAATTGAAGCATATATCTGTATTCCCTCCAGTATTAAGGGGCACAAATGAGGATAAAAATAAATCTTATTATTACAGCTAGAGCCAGCCCACCACCCCCGCAGAACCCAGTAATTAAAGCCAGATGGCTACATTTCTAAGAGTGGAACGCCTTTTCCACTGAGACCAACCAGGTCTTGGTAAAATATATAAAGTTGCACTCTCCTCCAAGATAATGTGTTGTGTGAGAGCAAATTCGTTATATGTCAGTCTGTCGTTCAAAAGCAACAACTGAAATCCAGGGTCACTAAGAATCCAGGAGCCATGCATTGAGCATAGAAACTGAGGACTGGACAGAGGGACCATTTTCAAACAGCAGATCCAATATCCTCAACTGTGGCTCACCCTCCATTCCCATCATATATCCTTCTGCCCATCACTGTTGAGGTAGTTCTGTCTACAGCCTCAATTCCCACCCTTTGCATCCCTTCACAGGCCAAGGACACATATATAGTCTCCCACAATACACACACAAATTGAACTCAGTAACCCATCCTGGCCCATAGGGAACTCAGTCAGACCTGCTAAAACACTCTGCAGCCTCAGGAAAGACAAGCCTTTTCAGGCGAAAAAAGAGCACCCCAGGACCCATTCCATCCAAGTCTTGCTGTGTTGCGTCATCATTCCTGGGAATGAGGAATGAGCATATATTTCCAGTAGGGTCACCCAAGATATGAATGTCACTCCAGCTGCCAACTAAAGCAGGTGCCTGTATTGGGCAGTAGCGATATGCAGTTGCTAGGAGCAAAAACTACTTGATGGCATGTAATCAGGTCTCATCACTTTTTTCACCCCGCCCTCAAGCTAGCATCCATCAACAACCACATCAACTAACAGTCCAGGAGGCCTCGGTCAGCAATGTTTCCAAGGGTGGGGGTGCTTCACAGCCTCAGTGCTCATAACCCAGGGGTGTCAAACTCGATTTCATTGAGGGCCAAATCAAGATTGTGTTTGACCTCGGGGGGCCAGGTGGGTGTAGCCAGTTCGATGTCACTCATGTCGGGGGCACCTGTGGTGACCCAGACAGGGCTGTAGGGGGATCATCCTGCAGCCCTCTGCCCAGTGAAAACGGAGCTCGGGAGGGCTGCACGCGGCCCTCCCGAGCTTGTTTTCACTGGCAGAAGTACTGTGGGCCGGTCCTTCGCTATTTCCAGGGCGGCCCCATGTGCCAGATGTAAGCGGGCAGCCCCACGTGCCAGATCCTGCAGGCTGTATGCGGCCCGCGGGCCTTGAGTTTGACACCCCTGTCATAACCACAGCAAGTGTTTCCATCTTCCTTTTCACACTTAGCTGGTTCATGTCTTCAGTACACATAAATATATTATTCTATGCAACTTGTCCCTGACGCTTTCTGAGTGAGTAGTAAACTTGACAGAGCTCCAGCACTTACAAAATATATCATCATTTAATCAATACCTTTTCAATACATGAGATAGAAATATTAGCTATTTCCGATTACTGTTCCCATTTGGAAACACAAGAACTGCTTTATAGTTCATTCATCTATTCATTCACCTCTTGTACTTGGGATATTTTATCTGTTTCTGAGTAATATTGGCGCCGAGAATAGGTTATTTACAATTTCACATGCAAGGCTTTCTGTGCTACCCAAAGGTTTTAGAGCTTGATCCTAGGTTCCTCTACAAGCATAACAGGTGTTCTGTTTCCCAAGTTACCTTTTCTCTCCAGTAGAAATGGGTGCTATCCTGCTTAATAAATTATATGTATATTTAATTGAATAAATTACTATTATAATAACCTGTTACACTTGGGATATTTTATCTGTTCTTACTAATATAGAATACTGCTGGGTTAGATGACTTCGAGAGGCTTAAAACACTTGGAACTGGATCATTTGGCAGAGTCATGTTGGTGAAACACAAATCTACAGAACAGTATTATGCCATGAAGATACTGGATAAACAAAAAGTTGGTATTTTTATTACAGTTTACTTAATTCTGTATTCACCAATATGTATGTATATTTCCTTGCCAAGCTGTGGTTCAGGTGGGGTAAAGTTTCATTGTTTTTGGGTTGTTCACATGCCTCTTGAATGCTATTTTCTGCACTAGTTCAGCTCAGTGCAAATCCTGCTAGTTTGCTTTGTGTTGGAAGAATGGCATACCGACTGCTCTAGAGATATATAAAGCACATGCTGAGTGTTCTCCATTGATTGTATTTTACAGAGAGCATTGGTCAAGTGCCTTGTTCAGTTGTAGCTCAATTACTGTTTGAAAAATGACTTAGGAGAAGAGTTGAGATAAATCTGAACAAGCAATAAATATACAGTGCGAATGGAAAAAATATGGCATTTTATAAATGAATCTTGAGGTTGTGCTTATTATTATTACAGCACATAACTTACCGTTATTAATATGTGCAGTGAACAGGTATACCGTTATGAGTATGAGTAGTATTAAGTTATTATTTAATGGAAGAAATAGTATTATTCTGCAACATTTTCACCTCTAAAATAGTAATAGAGACATGTAACAGTTAAAGCCCTTTTTCTCATTTTGTAGTATTTTAAGGTTGGGATTTTTTTGTTGGTGAAAGGAATATAAAAGAGGATTTTGATATTTAGGGTCAATAACAACCATGGTGCAAATGTTAATAGGCTGTTACGGATCCCGGAAAGAGAATTAGGGAAATCCAAACCTAGCTACTATGGAAATTCACTTTTACCCCAGTGTCAGAGTAGATATGCTAGGTAGGGGTGCCAGAACAGGGCATTGATCTGGACAGTACAGTTCCTAAACAACGCTCAAGCTAGCATGTTGGTTGCAATAGAATTTGTACTTTGAATCATTTTAATAAAGGAAAAGGATTTTAAAAAGAAAAGAAGATGTTCCTCCTTTTCTGACACCTACCCAGCACAGTTTGATCAAGGTATTTGATTTGTTTTAACACCTAGCAGGGGGAATCATTTTTACATAGCATATAGGAAATAATGAATATTCAGAAAAAATGTAATATTTAACAATAAACTTTTGTGTAATGTCGTATCATTTTAAAGCATCTCTGTTTAGACTGAATAATATTTGTGTAAGTCTGCCTTGTGTGTGTGTGTGTATATCTGTGTTTTTTAACAAATGAATACTCCTTAGTGTAAGTATTTGAAAAGAAGTGAGCTAGTTGCTGATTAATTATTGTCAGATTGCGTAGCCAAACCAATGCTAACATTTATCTATATTCACAACATCCTTTTTGTTTTATGAATATTCTGCAGTTTTTCTGTTCACTTAAATCTGAGCTCTCTCTTAAGAAAATTGTATTTTTAGATTGGATTTTAATAGAGTTTCATGTAGTTGGCAGTTACAAGTTAGAAGGGTTGGCATGCAGCAGCAACACTTTAACAAGCCAATTTCATTATGTTAATATATTGAAACAATGTAACTAAATGTTTCAAAACATGTAATGTTTATGTCTTCAATTCCAGCATTTACTGCTACTGTATTATTGAATTACAAAAGCAGCTGCATTTTTAAACTTAATTTTTCATTAATTGAAAATTAATTTTTTTCAAGCAGCAGTAATCAGACACTTGATATCAGAATGACACAGACAAATGGTGTGGTTATGTCATAGCACTGGATGCAAGTGCATGTCATATCATTTCCACCCTAACATAAATGACAGTCGTTTAACTGACTTTCACATTTCATTTGCCACAGAATAATTTTATTTCAGAAAAATATCCCTTTGTGATAAGTGCCAGTTTGGGATAGTTGTTAGTTAAGGCACTAGGGTAGAAACTGGGAGACCATGAGTTCTAGTCCTGGTTTAAGAGACAAATCAAGTTAGGTGACCTTGGGCCAGGCACTGTCTCTCAGCCCTAGGAAGAGGCAGTGGCAAACCACTTCCAAAATCTGCCAAGAAAACTGCAGGGATTTGTCCAGGTAATCTCCAGAAGTCAACACTGATTTGATGGCAGAAAATAAACACGTCTCTGTAATTCATGTTATAAAAACATGGAAGAAAATGAGTATGATAGCTGTTAAGTTAAATGTAAATTTCAGCAAAGGAATAATTGTAAAACTGTAACAAAATCAAGATGTCATTCAGCATTCATGGGATGTAGGGCTTCCAGACACTGCTTTATCTTGTCTAGCCTGAATCAGGCCTTTCTACTCTCTTCCTACGTCAAATGTTGTTTGCTCATGTAATTAGCATTAGAGTTGAAATTATTCTTTGTGGGGGTATTTTCCAGTGATTCAGATTCTAACCAAGTTCTCAAAAATTATTAGCCTCATCATCTTCACCATCTACTCTTTCTCCTTGAAGACACTCCCATAATCAAATGTTATAGTTTAATTAAGAGAATAGTATGAAATACATCATTTTTTGTAAGTTCTTTGGGGGTGTGAGGTTTTTTTTTTAATTTTAGATGATATGCATTAAATGAACTTTCTAAAACTCTCACTGTAACTTGTTGCAAGCATTCTACAAACTGTATTTGTTCAGATTACTTGTTATACATCTTATGTACAGTATAATCTGAACCCAAAGATGAAATAGAATACAGTTCTTTTATTCATTAAGCCAGAGGTCCCCAACCTTTTTGGCACCAGGGACAGGTTTCACAGAAGACAATTTTTCCACAGAGTGGGGGAGGGGGGTGTTGGGTTCTTCGCTCACTCACCCGCCACTCATCTCCAGCTGTGCAGCTCAGTTCCTAACAGGCCACGGAGTGGTACCAGTCCATGGCCTAGGGGTTGGGGATCCCTGCTTTAAGCCACTTATAAAATGCAAACTGATTTTAGAACTGATCTTTTTCCTATTTTTAACTAAATGTTTTGTTTTGAATCCTTTCTAAAATGGACTTTGTTCTTAGGTGGTTAAACTGAAGCAAATAGAACACACGTTGAATGAAAAAAGAATATTACAAGCAGTGAACTTTCCTTTTCTTGTAAGACTGGAGTATTCTTTTAAGGTAATAATTGGATTAGAAAGTAACACTAGTTACTTTTTTCTAGCATAATTTGTCTTGTAGTGCCCAGTGGGTGCCGCGTTTTTCATAGAAGTTTATTTCCCAAATAAGACGAGTCCAAAGATGATTGAAGATGCTCACTTGTTAAAATTACATGTTAGATGCTTCACTAATTTAATATGATTGCAAGTTTTACAGATTGAACAAGTCAGTTTAATAAAATAAAGTAAGCCCTTTGGTCATATTCATACATCACTATTTAAATAAAAACTATGAGCTTTGTAAACCAGAATGTGGAAAAGTAATGTGCTGTTGCATCTAGCTAGCTAGATGTCCAAATCTGATATTATCAATTAAGTGCTCCTGACAAACTAGTTGCTATAAATTAATGGCCTTCATTAACTTAATATTTGTTTATAATCCATTTTTATTTTGATATTTTTAAATTGGGTTTAAGATTAAATACAGTTTCAAGTAGTAAGATGACAACAGGTGTTGGTGTTAATAGAGCTAGTTAATAGAGCCAGTTTGGTGCAGTGGTTAAGGCACCAGGCTAAAAACCGGGAGATGTGAGTTCTAGTTCTCCTTAACCATGAAATCCAACTTGGTGACCTTGAGCCAGCCACTCTATCTCAGCTCAGCTCACCTCACAAGATTATTGTTTGGGTGAAATAGGAAGAAGAGGGTGTTTTGGATACGTTCACTGCCTTGAGATATTTGTAAAAATAATGAAGGCAGGATAGAAATAAATAGAAATAGAAGTAGAAAGCATAAGTAGCCCTGACAGTGGTATAGAAAGCAAGGAAAATACAACCCCATGGCTTATTTAAAAGAAATATCTTATAAAATCCATCACCATGGATTTTGCTATGGCATGGGAGATAACATTGAATGGAATCTATTAGCAATTGACTTAAATTTTTTTTAAAATGGAACAGTTTTCATTGCGTACAGTTATATAACAAAGAATGGCATCAGAAAAAATAATTCAATTCTCCAGCCATACGTTTAAATGTAACCGTGTATAAATTAAAATTACATACAGGTAGTCCTCACTTAACAACAGTAGTTGGAACAAGAATTTCCATCACTAAGCACTGTGGTCATAAAGCACATCACATGATCACGATGCCAGCACTTCCAGCTGTCATCATTAAGTGAACCCTGCACTGTTGTTAACTATGATGCCACCTGGTTGCCATTTTTGCACACCTGCCAGCTTCTGCATTGAGTTTGTCTTTGGAAGCCAACAGGGAATGTCCCAAATGGCAATCACATAACCAGAGTATGCTACGACATAATAATTGCAAGTCAGTTGCCAGCAATCACAGTCATGTGACTACAGGGGCACTGTGACAGCCACAGTTATGAGGACCAGTTGTAAATACTACTCATTCAGCACCATTCATACAGTTACTGAATGAGTTGTTGTTAAATGAGGACTATCTGTCTTATCAATAGTTGTGTACAAAAACTCTATATGATAACGTTGTGAGGAAAAATCCATTAAGTTTTTATATGTATAGAATTTTTTGCCAAAATCTCATGCACACTTACTACTGCCATTATTGCTCCTTGTGTTCTTCTGTTGAGAATAATGGAGTAAGGCTGGTCAATTTTAATTCAGCCAGGTACTCTCTGTTTCACCCTGCTGTTTTTTTCCCCCACTTTCAATGTTCAGGAACATTGAGTGCTTAAATAAACTTTTTGTTTGTTTGCCAGAAATATATTTAGATCTTTGAAAGTGTATTTACAATTTCAATTAACGATACTTCTCTATATTTTAGGACAATTCCAATTTATATATGGTTATGGAATATGTTCCTGGAGGGGAAATGTTCTCACATTTAAGAAGAATTGGAAGGTTCAGGTAAGAATAAACAAATAAGTTATTTGGGAAAGTATATGCTGTCATTCCTAAGTGATTTCTTTATGGGAAAAGATGTATTCACTTAGCATAAACTTGAAAACTTTCTGAAATAGCTTTGAAAAACAAGTTTTGGTTTGGCATGTATTCAATAGTTTTATATATTGAAATATATAGGATCTGATCCAGATAGTCCTCCCTTGACTGACCACTTATTCCACAACTGTTTGATGTTATGATGTACTGAAAAAATAACTTTATGATCAATTGACAACCATTTATTACATTGGCAGCTTCCCTCAATCCTGTGATCAATACAATGGGTCTGGTCTGTTTTTATTACCTCTCTCCTCTTGCACAGTGGAGAGATTGGAGACGAGATTAGAAGAAAGTAAGATGGCACACAGTCGAGAACACACATAGAAAACAAAAGCAATGTGTTAGTCCTGGCAGCTGCTTGCCAAACAGCCACTGTAATCCCCATTGTGTGCCTGCTTATTCTCTTCTGATCCAGAGCTTCTTGTGGCAGAGTGCCCTATTAGGGAGGGGAAAGATGACCATCCCCCAAAACCAGATGGCGCTACCCAGAGAAAAAGGCAGCTCTACAGCCATTTAGCAAATCTTGGTTCCTTTGCAGTCCCCTCCATTCAGTCAGTTAAACTTTTCCTCCTAGCTGAGCAGCAACCATGAGGAGATCTTCATGCCAGTTAGCTTTCCTCTGCCGCTACCATCAAAATGGAAAAGGTTGCCTGAGGTCCCAAACCGGCACAATCTAAGGGCAGTTGGCAAACTGCCTGCAGACACCTTCTCTTTGCAAGCATGCTGGGGCAGAGTCTTCAGACTTGGAACATCAAATGTTGCTGAGAAGGTGTCCTTTTGGGTCTTTTCAGATCCAGGGCCAGCCAGGAAGAGATGCGCAGGAATTGATGGTGTCTTTCTAGGGGTGCCTGGTCTCTATCATGGCTAAACAAATTCTGGACAGGAGTAGCAGATGAGGGAAGCCACCTCACCACAGTGCTCCAGTTGGGAGCTGCACGCAACAAGCCCTCAGAGAACTCCTGTCCTTCACTTCCTCCTCTTTACCTTCCAGCACCCATATTGGACTAGTATGCACAAATCAGAAGCCCCCATCTCCCCTTGCCAATTCCCTCCTATCCAAACACATCACCCCCACCTGAATCTACAAAGCAAATTTCAGCCCTCCCAGATGAACCAAACAGGAAACAAAACTAGATTAATTCTATGTTATTTAAGGCTACATTAACAGAATCATCCAAGTTTGAAAGTACAAACTTTCATTGCTGCTTTTAATTGTTTTGATTCATTAGGGTGGGCCCATTCTAAGTTTTGTTTCTCTGACCAAACCATTGAGGGCTCCTGCCTCTCTTATTTTATTGTTTGCTGGGCAGCATCTATTCCCTTCTAGCCCCAAGATTACTGACATACTTCATTACAAAAAGATAAGAGACCCATCTACTCCACCCCACCCTTTCGATGGCCAGGTCACTTTGGTTCTTCCGTGCCCTCATACACCCCCCCCCAACATGACTAGCAGAGCCCCTCTTTCCTTCTTGCATCTCAGAAAAGAAGGTTCCCACCCAGCAGTTTCTGTAGGTAATCTCTCCTAGCTGAACTCTCCTTCCTTGCAGAGCAGAGAGATTTGAGACGATGGGATTAGAAATTAGTATAATAAGCAGGCACAGTGAGGACAACTGTTTTCAGCTTTTGCTGTGATTACTCTCCTTTGATCCCCTTCTCTCTACTGCAAAAATTAATACCTTTTTTATTAATTATCCAGCATGGGGTGACCAATCCAGAGGGTGGGGGACTGGCTAGGATGCAAAGAAAAGCAGAAGGTATGAAACTGATTACTCTTGTCAGTTTAGAGCTGAAAAACAAAGTTATGGTCATATGATTTGCGATTTAGCAACTGCTTCACTTAGTGACTGAGTTGTCAATCCCAATTGTGGTTGCTAAATAAGAACAACCTGTATTATATATGTACTTTTGAATTCATTTTGCAATCATTGTAGAACAGAACATAAATTTTCTCATATATTTCTACCGGTTCATAGATTTTTGTATTTAAAAATACATGTATCCACTGTATTTAAAAGATAATGACGGTACTTCTGTTAAATGTACTAGTTTTAATAACTTAATATTTTCATTGATTACAGTGAACCACATGCACGATTTTATGCAGCTCAGATAGTACTAACATTTGAGTACCTCCATTCATTAGACCTCATCTACAGAGATCTAAAACCTGAAAATCTTTTAATTGATCAACAAGGATATATTCAGGTATGATACAAAGATTTATAGACATGAATATTTTGTTATCTATAGCAAGATGTGGTGAATACTTAGAGTATTTTGTAAGGAAATCAGTTTTTTACAAATCAGTTTCATCAATTAAAATATATATTGTCAAAAACAGGAGAAAATAGATGCTGAATTTGATCCAAATTGGTTTATATCAAAATGGATAGCTTTTTCCAATTGGGGCAATACTTTCAGTTTTATTCTTTCAGCTTCCAAGTGATGCAGGAGGCACAGCAGCTTATATAATTGAAAACCTTCAGCTTAAGTTTCCCGTTACTGTTGTTCAGTGCTAGGGGAAAATAGATGTATCAATCACCTTTTTCACCTTTTCATATCACTCCCACCCCCCAAAAAATATCCAGCCAAATATTTTGGGACTCCAAAACTGATTCCCCAGCCCTGGAAAAAAAATTTGCTTTTTAAAATCAAAAGCTTAATGATGTTATAGATATTACCTAGTGTTGAATATAGCATATCTGAGGTTTATACTTTGGCGTTAATTCTTCCTTTTTAATGCTTCTAGGAATGAATTGGTTACCTATCATGCCTTGTTTGATTAAAAAGATACACCTAAAACTACTATTCTTTTGTTTCTATTATGACATACAAAAAAACCTGTTTCTGTGATTAATTACCTCTTAGTTTAGTTTAGTTTAGTTTAGTTTATTTGATTTGTATACCGCCCTACTCCCGAAGGACTCAGGGCGGTGAACAGCCAACAATAAAATACATAAATACACAAAATTTAAAAACCCGATAAAATCAAATTAAATTATTTGGCCCAGACAAATTAAAATACCCCAATAATTTAAAAACAGATTAAAATTTACGTATTTAAAAAGGGAAGAGATCAGGCCAAGCCCGCTTGATGGAATAAAAAGGTCTTCACAGCACGGCGGAAGGAGCGCAGATCCGGGATCCTCCGTATCTCCGGGGGGAGCTCATTCCAGATGGTAGGTGCCCCCACAGAGAAGGCTCTCCCCCTAGGGGCCGCCAGTCGACACTGTTTGGCTGACGGCACCTGGAGGAGTCCGTCTCTATGAGAGCGTACTGGCCGGTGGGAGGCTATTGGTGGTAGTAGGCGGTCCCGTAAATAACCAGGCCCTAAGCCATGGAGCGCTTTAAAGGTGGTAACCAAAACCTTGATGCCTATGTGTATTATTATCATTAATTTGGTTTTATTTTAATTTATAAATAAACCTTGAGAAATATAATAATTCTTTCTGTTCTCTTAGGTCACAGATTTCGGATTTGCAAAAAGAGTAAAAGGAAGAACCTGGACGTTATGTGGGACTCCAGAATATTTGGCACCTGAAATAATTCTTAGCAAGGTATTTGAAAATGCTTGACAGGTTCATTAAGCATTGCTGAAAGGAAAATACTGTTCTAAATATGCTTAGGAAGAAGTTTCATCTAAAATTTCAAATAAACTCATGCATGGCTTAGGTAATAATTATTAAATATTGTCATGATATTTTCTCACGTAGAATCTAATAATTTAGTCAAATTCTTCAAGCCAAAATATTGCTTGGTATTCTATAACATGCCATCGTAAAGTCTTAACACATTTAATTTCAGGAAATGGTAAAGAGTCTTTACTTGGGATGATTTTAGCACTGTATAATAAAGTGTTTTTATGACTCTTTGAAGCATCAGGGTCAATTTCTGTATGGGCAGTTCTTGACTTACACTTCACCAGTGGAACTGCAAAACTTACATGCAAGAAAACTAGCGGTATAATTTAGAAACACAAAAGTTACTGAGAAACAACTTTTGATTTTCTTTGCTGTGTTGAAGAGTCTCTTCCATTTGCTTTTTGTAATATAATTCTGAGATATATATATATCATTTATTTTTGTTCTAGATGTCATCAAACATCTATTTATTGAATAATATGAAAATAAAACGTTTAAAATTATATGTATGCTATCAAAATATGAAGCATTTATATTCTTATATGTGTGTGTGTAATTATTTAATACTAAAAGTTTGATGAGGTATTATCATTAGACCTAATCACAGTATTTTTCATCAGGGCTACAATAAAGCAGTGGATTGGTGGGCTTTAGGAGTGTTAATTTATGAAATGGCAGCTGGATATCCTCCATTCTTTGCAGATCAACCAATCCAGATTTATGAAAAAATTGTTTCTGGAAAGGTAAGCATTTTCATGAGAATAGCACACACAACATTTTTTTTCTCTTGATTAATAAGTTAGAGAAAATATAAAATTTGTCCCTAAAATTGAAAGTTATCCTTTAATTTGTCCCTAAATTCAAATTGTCCTTAATTAACTAACTTTGCTTAATTGTTGACTATCCATATGTTTTAGCATTTTTTGAATCATATTTCCCCCAAAATAAGACATCCCCTGATAATAAGCCCAATCAGGCTTTTGAGTGCATGGCAATAAGGCCAAGTGCTTATTTCAGGGTTCAAAAAAATATAAGACAGGGTCTTATGTTTGGGGAAACAAGGTAGCTCTAAAGAGTAGGATTTAAAACAGTCAGAAATGATTGTCAATTAAATTGTTACATTCAGTCCCCTGAAAGCAAGTGGCGGGGAGAATTTTTCGATTTCATCCTTTCTATGTCACTGGCTATGTCTTTTGCTCTGTATAGATAGATATATGTGTCTCTTTGTCTTGCTCTGTGTTTGAAATAAAATAAGAAACAGAGTGTATGTTTATCTGTGAAGGTGTCAAAAATAGAAGGAAATGAAAATATGCAAGTTTAAGATTGTCCTAGTCTAGCTCACATAATGTTGTTCTTTAAACCATTTAGTCATGTCCGAATCTTGGTGACTTTATAGACAATAAATGCTACCCTCCATGCACAGCTTCTCCTAATCGCTGGATGTTCAACTTGGTATTAGATTTGATGTTCTCACGCCAACATGTTCTTTCCTTGATCTTTCTTGTTTCATTACCCATTCCCAGCATCATTGCCTTCTCCAATGAATTTGAATGCATGACATGGCCGAAGTAAATTGGAAGGTAGTCTTATGATTTAGCTTCTAGTGATGTGTCTGATAGCTCACGAAATGCTATACAGTAATTTAAAATGGGGCCACTTTATAAATAGTTCACAGATTTAGCAAAAAATGTAATTGAAGTGAAAATACCAGATAAGGAAATACAATGACATAAGGTACATATTATTATATATTAATATTATATTCCAAGATTTAATCAGAAATAATTTCTAGTGAAAAATAATTTTAAGAGTTCAGTCATATTCAAATACATTATTTAAAAGTAAAGAAAAGGCAGACACTAAAAACTACCGTGTTTCTCCAAAAAGAAGGCCGGGTCCTATTTTCTTTTGACCCCCCCCCCCCCAAAAATGGCTACGCCTTCTTTTTGGAGGGTCTAATTATTGACTCACCTCGCAGCAGTGGCACCGACAGCCCTGCCCAACAGGAGCCCACTGCTGGCCCACTTCTTCTGCAGCCACTTGCCGCCACTCGCATGCGTCGCTCCGGCCTCCGGTTCGCCTTCAGATGCCTTCCAGAAAGCCCTCTGCAGCCGATAATAGAGCTCCAGATCGATCCAGAGCTCTGTTACTGGCTGCAGATGCCTTCCAGCAGGCATCTAAAAGCAAAACAGAGGCCAGGGCAATGTGTGCGAGTGGCCGCAAGCAACCACAGAAGGTGAGGCAGGTGTCGGGGTCTGCGAGGCCTGGTAAGTAGGGCAGCTCAACCCCTCCATCCCCATCCTAGCTTATTTTTTTACCTGTGTGCCTCGCCCCATCCCCTGCAACCCGGGGTGGGCAGTATCTTAATTAGGGCTAATTTTGTGGGTGGGGCTTAATTTGATTGCATGCGCTCAAAAACGTGATAGGGCTTCTTTTCAAGGTGGGTCATCTTTTTGGAGAAACATGGTATTAGTTTACATGTATACATTTGGAAATGATTTGGAAGTCACACCAAAGCCTCAGGGAACATAGACTGTCCTCTTCACTATATGAATTTAGCATGTAAAGCACTGTTTCTCAACTTTGGCAACTTTTAAGATGTGTGGCCATCAACTCTCAGAATTTCCCAACCAGTAATGGTGGCTAGGGAATTCTGAGAACTGAAGTCCACACATTTTAAAATTGCCAAGATTAAAAAAGGCTGATGCAAAGAGTGGCGGAAATAGTTACTGGCCACATTTACAGTATTCATGTAATTACAGATTTGCCCAAAATTCCTACATTTTCAGTGGAATATAAAGGACATATTAGATTCATTGAGGTGCTAAACAACATCATCACCCATCATATTATTTTAAATTCTTGGGTAAAGTATGGGAAGATGCCATAGTAAGCTGAAAAAGTAAACTAAAATATAATATATTAGAATAATTTATATAAGCTGGAACAGGAATCTGTTTGGCATAGATAGGAATTAAAGAAGAAAATTATATATTTATACATACAGACACATCATTGTCCAAACTATGATGTGTATTTGCTTTGGAATATGTACAATTTCAGTGAAAGAATACAGAGGCAGGGAGAGAGATGAAGTGACACTAGCAGTCTGCTGATCCTTGAATTTGCTGCCTTTCCGTTCATATAACGTTAGAGAAGGAATATTGTGTCTCATATTTTGATGCATCTGCTTTTTGCTATTGGATAGTTTGGACAAGGACAATACATTCTTTGCGAATGATAGGGAAGAACTTCTGACTCACACAAGAGTGACTGAAGTAGCCCTTCTATGCTATTCCTTAAATTAATCTGATTTTTTTTCCCCCTGTGAGCCTGGAAAACAAAATAAAGCAAAACAAAAAAAGGAAGCACTACTGCTTTAAGAGTCATATTAACTTCAGTGGCTAGATTTGCTGAAAACAGTGGCACTTTTTTTCTGAATCGCGTTGCATGTATGGTATAGTGCATTTATTTCAGAGGTGGTATTCAGCAGGTTCTGACCAGTTCTGGAGAATTGGTAGCGGAAATTTTGAGTAGTTTGGAGAACTGGTAAATACCACCTCTGACTTGCCCTGCCTCCATATATTCTCTGCCTCCCGAGTCCCAGCTGATCAGGAGGAAATGGGGATTTTGCAGTAACCTTCCCCTGCCATGCCTACCAAGCCATGCCCACAGGACCGGTAGTAAAAAATTTTGAATCCCACCACTGATTTATTTGCAACCTTCTTCTCCACTTTTGTGTGGGACAGAGGACTTCATGGAAGTACTGTTTCATGGGGCTCTTGATTGATTTGAACAGAAAACAAACATTTGAAAACATGCAGTACTGTCAGTGAGGGTGTGATTGTTTGTGGCTTTCTATGTTCTTGATTTCTGACATTTCCTTCCTTTTTCCCTTTGACGTTCACATTTTTCTCCAGTTTCTAAAAACTAACTTTCGTTGATTGTTATTAATTTGTCTTGTGTTTCTTTCAGAATACAGTTGTATTACCTGTACCATTTCACCACCAGCATTCTAGATTAGGTTTCATTTGGAATTAAGTTCTGTCTTAATTTTTCTGTTCAGTTACTTGTTAGTGTTAGGAATAGATTATAATTATGTATGTAGTGTTCTGTTTAACTACATTCCTTTTATGACTATGAGTTCCTAATGTGTTTATATTGTGTATAAACATTATGTGACACCAAAAGGAACTCCTGTGAGTGATTTAAGTTTACTGTGAATAAAAGGGACTAAGGTTTAACACATGATTCTTTACATGAAATCATGCTGAGGGCAAAGCACATAGTAAATGATGTAAAGATAACTATTATTTCATATTAGTAGTGTCTCTCTGGGTTTCTTCTGACAAAAAATAGAATATTTACCAGCAAAACTTTTTCCAATTGGAAGAGTGTGGAATAATTCTTCCTCCAGAATCCCTCACAAAATAGGGCTTATTTTGGGGTGGAGGGAGCAGTAATAGAACTAAATATCTGGGAAAATAAAATATCAATCTATTAAAGTTCTTTCGCTATCCCGCCCTCCACCCCTTGGCCAAATCAGCTTTGATAGAATGTCACACAAATATCTGTCTCTGGAGTAGCAGACATCTTTAAAAAACCACTCTGTCCTATCTGGTGCTCAGAAATTGCCCATGTAACGATTGGAAAGCTTAGGAAACCCATGTACAGATAGTCCTTGAGTTATGACCACAGTTGAGCCCAAAATTTATGTCGCTAAGTGAAACATTTGTTAAATCAATTTTGCTTCATTTTACGACTCTTCTTGCCACAGTTAAGTGAATCATTGCATTTGTGAAGTTAGTAACGTGGTTGCTAAGTGAATCTGGATTCCCTATTGACTTTATTTTTTTTTATTTTTTTTTATTTTTTTATTTTATTAAATTTATATTGCTGCCTATTCGCCCATGGCGACTCAAGGTGGCTTACAGAATACAAAACCACATTTAAAACAGTAAAAAAAAACTTTCTGACTTTGCTTGTCAGAAAGTCGCGAAAGCTGATCACATGACCCCAGGACACTGCAACCATCATAAATATGAACCAGTTGCCAAACATCTGAATTTTGATCATGTGACCATGGGGAACCTGCAACAGCCGTGTGAAAAACGGTGCATACGTCATTTTTTTCAATGTCATTTGATTGGTCATTAAATGAACTGTTGTAACTCGAGGACTACCCAAAATCTTTGAAAGAAAACATGGATCTGTTTGAATTTTGATAGGCTTTATCTCTGTGAATGGAAATATTCAATAGTATAACAATATGCAATATTGGCATTTGGATTTACACCATATATCCCTAACTCATCTGTCATCCTTTTCAAAGAACAGCACATATATGTTGCTACAGTAAATGTATTGGATATATTTTGTAGGTACGTTTCCCATCGCATTTCAGTTCAGATCTTAAGGATCTATTAAGAAATTTACTTCAGGTAGATTTGACCAAGCGGTATGGAAATCTCAAGAATGGAGTAAATGACATTAAAAACCACAAATGGTTTGCCACTACAGATTGGATTGCCATTTACCAGAGAAAGGTAAGTTTGTGTTTCTTTAAAAGGAATTTAGCGACAGCAAATGAAAATTTCCCTGTCCTTTCTTATTTAAAATTGCTATACCTGCTTTTACCTTTAAAACACAGGATATTTCCAAAGTATTTTGGGCCTTAGAATCCATAAGATTAGAATCTCTATTCAAAACTCTATTCAAAAACAGAAGGGTTCCATTCCTTCCTCTCTTAATTGTAGAAATCTCCACTTGTTTCTTGATATCAAATGATTTTCAGTACAGCTGTGTTCTCCTTTTATTGACTTCTCTGAAATACTGTTCCACATATACAGATACTGGATATTCTTCTTCACCTAAGTATCTGAGAGACAAAGATGATTCCTAATCGAACTCTCACCAAAGCAATAGTGAAATATTTACTAGTATTTTCTATGAAAAAAATTATCATTCTTTCTCTAAAATATTTTGGGAAACTTTAACTTTCTTAACTTACAATTCTTCTTAAAATTATCTTGAGAAATTATATTTCTTGAGCTTTTGTACGGTAAGCATTTCTAGTAGTCATATGATAGTTTCAAGGTTCATAGGCATGCTGTTTTACAAAAACGTTATTTAAAAGCCAAATCGGAAACATAATAATTTATAAAAAGAAGCTAGTTACAGAGCTATGCAGTGTGACAGTACAGCATAGCTGTAATAAATAATGTATTAATTATTTAATTTCAAGGAAGATTTTCTATTATTTGTATTCTCTACTGAATATCAGAATGTATTTCATTAGTCTTCTATCACAAATCATTCTTTTTATATATATTACATATTAAAATATTTCAGAAATGTGTTTATGCTTATGCCTCAAATAAGTACAATTTTTTAAAAAAATAAATTGGCATTACCTTTGAAAACCCCATGTCAAAATATGGTTTATGCAATTGGCTTATTTATTTTTTATTTTTTGGAAATGCACTATAAGAAAATTTGACTATATAGCTAATCCTTAACACTAGACCAAGCGTACACATTTACTTTGTTCTTTTTTAGTCACAGGACAGTCCTAGCCTTTGAATGAGGCATAGAGAGCCACAATCCCCAAATAAACAGGATTAGAGTGAACAAAATTTCATTTACTTTCAATTTAGTTCAGTAACAATATATTTGGTTACAATATTTGGCAACTTTGATGAACTCCTAGAGTCAACAATTGGGCATACCATAGGTTGCATGGAAGGCAAAACCATATATGGCAACATTTAAATTAGCTTCTCTTATTTATCTTATTATCAGGATCCATTTTGTGCAGATGCAAGTTTGATGAGGTAGTGTTTACGTCTGTGAGGTTTTATATTTCTGTAGTAATCCCGTGCATTAGTCTATACATTCATAAAAAGGCTGAGTTTCTAATAGTAATTGTCTTACATGAATAAATTCTAAGCTAAATGCGTTTAAGCTTTCTAAAATTAATGCCTGGAATATACAGAAAAAATATTCGTTTTTTCCTCACAAAGCAGTCTTTGCTGCAGATCTTATTTGAATCTGATTTGTTGGCCATTTTAGACTCACAAAAATCACTTTTTGTGTATAACACAGCTGTAAACAATGTGTAAGAATGCAGCATATCAACAGTATAATCAATAAACAATGATTGATTGTAACAGATCATATGACTTATTGAGATGCTACAAATTATTTTTCAAATGATCCAAGAAATTCTGCATTCTTTATCCTTCTTGGCCATGTATTTCTGTTTCATTTGCTTCTTGGATTTTCCTTTTGTATTTGTTGGCTTTGAAAGTTATGATTTTCAAGTCTTTATGCAATGTTCAGTTATTCCACCTTTTCTGTGTATTCCACAGTCCTTTAATACCCACCCTCTTTCTTCTATATATACATTCTTGAAGGATTGGGAGAGGGGTGTCTGATAAATGTCACTTTAGTTCTTTCAGTCTTTTGGACCTTGTTTTGTTCTAGTTTTCTGTACTATATTTTGACTCGATTTTGCTACATTAATTTTGTTATTTTGGCAGTTTCCCGATCTGTGTAGCTGCTTGATTCACACAGTGGGTGACACAATGTATTTCTATTTGTTCTTTGGGGTATTTTCATTCTATCAAATAGTCCTTGTAATGATTGTTTTTGAAGGCTTTATTTTTTTTTTTAGTTCCCACAGTCTTAGTGTTTAATTCTTTCAGATTAGCAATTAACAACCGTTCATACTTTTTTTATTATACAGGTAGAAGCTCCATTCATACCAAAATGTCGAGGCCCAGGAGATACCAGCAACTTTGATGATTATGAGGAAGAAGATATCCGTGTTTCTCTAACAGAGAAATGTGCAAAAGAATTTGCTGATTTTTAGTACTTGGAGGATAAGAGGACATCAGGGCTCATATTGGGGTCTTTGCACTCTGTTAACTCATGAAGTGGAGCTGAGACCATCATATGTCAAAACAATTACCTAGTTACTTCATTCCACAAAGCTGACTGAGGTCTTTATTGCCATCTTCCATGTGTGCAGGTTGCACCAACCCTTATAACTAGGCACAATTAAGCAAGCACGGTTTGTGCTGTTACACAGAATATAGACCACTTTTCCTATTTACCTTTTGGTTTCTATTGTTTCCTTTGTTTTCTGTGTATTGTTAATTTCTCCTCTTTTCTCTGACCCACTTTTTTAAAATGAAGTAGCCTTTTACTCAAGAATGCTCCATTTTATTTTGAATAATGTATGTGTATGAATGAAACTGAAGGTGTTCGGGCTAAATACAAGTTAGACTGAAGTGGAAGATAAATGTTGCTTCTAGTTTGTGCTGGCCAATCCTTCTGTGTCCATCTTTGTGCGTGAGGCTACAGTTCATAGGGTTCATAAAAACCAGTTAGTGGTTTTTGTTTTTTTGTTTACTTTGGTAACACAATCTAAACCTAGCCAACTTCATTAGCATTTTGAAAGTAGTATTTATCACTATATGAGCGTATGCTAATTGACTTAAGGATCTCTTCCTGGAGACTGACCAAACCTATTTTCAAAATTGGAAAATTTGTGTAGGGTACAGTAGCTAGCCCTGTGCCTTGGTTTTTTACATTGCTGGCAGTTCTTCTCCCTGCCTCATAGTTTGTGTTATTTTCCTAGGCAGTAAGTTAATATGCTATAAGCATACTGTGCCATAAGTAGCACAGTCTCAGTAAGCAGGAACAATTCTATCCAGTCTGGGCTTTGGACCATATTTAATCATGTTTAGTAACGTGCATCTAAAGAATTGACTATTTAAATAGGTTTTAAACACCTGAAAGCCTGGAACTTGTAAAAGATTTGGTCAGTATTGTTAAGAGATAGGACTGATTTTTAGTAATGTCAGTGGGGCTCCTGAAGTATTTCACATTTCAACCCTTTTTTTATTGAAGGGGGGAAGCATCTTTTTTATCTCTTTAGCTATGAGAATAAATGGTTTAGCAAATTGAAAATTTAGTATTAAAATATTGATAAGTTGCTAGATAAACCTGGTATTTCTGTTAGCTGTGAAGAATAAAAGAAACAAATGCCAAGTTTTTATTCTGGTATACTATATTAGTAAATTCAAGGATGGAATGCTGCTCCAATCATGGTTTCTATCAGCAGCACTTCATTCATATAGAAAAGAGACAACGTTTGAAACTGCCACCATCTGTGATGTGGTGTCTTCATTTCTAACATATTTTTCTTTTGGTGAAATGAAATTTATGGTTGCACAAAGAATTGATTGGGTTGAATTAAGTTTCATATAATCTCACCAACTGACCTGTATGGATATTGCTGCCATGTGCTTGCTTCCAGCACTTTTTCAGACTTCTGTTTCAGTGTTTAATGATCAGTAGCTCAGCACATGTCCTTGTGCATTTTAAATGTATCCATGCAGTTTTTAGTTAGGCACTTACTTTCTGATTTATCCCAAGAGGGCCTCTCTTAAGATGGCATATCAGTACACTTAGACTCATGTTTTATGTTCAATTTACATGTCTACAAGAATGAAGGGTTATTCTATCCAATTGATCTAAAGTGCTAGGTAATCAATGAGTTCTCTACAATGCCAATACATGTAAGATAATTGGCATTATTTCCTTTTAATCTCTGTGACACTCCTTTAATGAAAACCTCTGTAGACATTTTTCAGTCTAGAATAAGATGAATCATACAATCTTTTAAACATCTTTAAGTTGTCAGGCAGTTTTGCTAATCATTGTTAGTTGTTTGCCATCTTTGTCCACTACTGTCTGTCTATGTGCAAGACAAGCATATGAAAATCTGCAGTAGCAAATTTTATGTTATATATTGTCACATTAATAAATTAAACAATTATTTGTATGAAAAAGGTTACTTTTTTTTGTATTTCATCTAGACAGAGGACATGCTGTTGTATGCTAGCTGTATCCAATAAATTCATTAATTTGTTCATGGATTTTTAATAAATGCTGCAGATCATTTTTTTAAAATTCTGGTATGAATTTTAGCCAGTAGTTTAATTGGGTAATTTTTAAGTATGTGTAAATATGAGGCTTCATTCTGGATGTCCATGGAATGGATTCTAGCATGCCTAAGTTCTCAATTTTAGATGGACAATTTTGAAAAACCTTTTTCATTCTTTTGATTTATGCTTGTTTAAATATTTTAAGTTGTCAGAAATAAACAGTAAACATAAATCATAATAAGGGAGTAATAGATTGACTAGAAAGGGGTTGGGCAAAATATAAGGAAGTTGCTATTCACAGTGCATGAAAACACATTTTCCAGCATGCTGTCTTCCAGATATGTCAACAATAACTCCCTGCCAGCACTGGACATGCTGAAAAAGTAAGGGGATTTCTGTCCAACACATCTGGAGGGCAGCAAGAAGACTGTGTTGAAGTACACATTTGGCATTGTGCTAAATGGTCCTATCATTTTAAATATACAAAAGCCACAAGAAGATAAAGATGCCTCTGTCTAATTTCAAAAACAAAAAAACCTTTTCCATCATATGAAATACTGTATATTTGACAGTAGAGACTTGTTAATTTTACACAATTTGAGGAATTAAGTGTTGGACTGTATGGTATCTTTTAACTGTACTCTAGCTGTATGTAACTCTCATTTTCAACATAAAAAAATGTATCTCATTAAGTAAATTGCTTCTCTTTTTTTGTCAGCTGCATTAAAACCCTTATTTTTAAAATCCTTTAAGTATTTACTGATTTCTTTGAAAATAATTAGTTTGTTACAATAGTGTGCAATACAGTAAAAGTTTATATACAGAACTGCAAATTAAATTATGTACAACACTGCATAAAGACTGTGCTGCTTTTTTATGAGGTAGTATATCCCATTGTGCATTCTCCTTTGCCATGGCAGTCAAGCTTATGTGCTTTCTGTAAAATGAGTTTTATTTTGAGGAATACACTGCAGGTGACATATAATGTTAGGCCTAATTCCTATCTAGATAATCTCTTAACATTTCTAAGAACTATGCCTATTAGTACAGGATTCCTTTTTAAAGGAAAGATATAAATGTTGGTTTGTAACAGTATTTCTCAACCTTGGCAACTCTAGGAAGTCCACATTTCTTAGAATTGCCAAGATTGAAAAACATTGGTTTGTAATCTTCCAAACTGGTACTGGACTTGTATAAGTATGGAAGTGGGTGTATATAAAATTTAAAATGCAAAAATCATGGCTTATTACAATTGTCTTCTGCATAATTCACACATCTTCCAAAAGCAGAAATATGTTACCAAAAGGAGAACGATGGTACAAACTGATTAATTATGTTCTATGACTACAGAGATGGTCTATATTACATCTCTGAGACCATAAGGAATCTAACATACTTGCCATTTAATTGACGTGTGTTTTTTGAGAGAAAATAACACTAGAAACATGCTTGTTGACAACATTATTTTAAGATAGTCCTAGGGTGGGATGAAAGGCCTCAACAGGGAGGTTAGTACTTTCTGAGAATATAAAAAAGCTTAGAAGAACAACTTGGGTCAAACTTTTCCCCAAGGAGTAGCTTTCTAAAAATCTGACAAGATTGGAATTCCACAATCTCCCACAGACGGATGAAAATTTTTGTAATTTTCGCAGTATAGGACACTTCAGACCATAAGATGCACCTAGCTTTTGGGGAGGAAAAGGGGGGGGATCCTGCCTCTGTCTCCCAGCAATTTGCCTCCTTGTAGCAAACAGCAAACATCCTGGTCAGCTTCAGCACAGCCTGATTTAGCACGAGCAGTTGATTGGTGGTTGGATTGGCCTCCCGGAATAGTGCCAATCAGCTGTTCCAGGCTGCGGGGATCGCCATTGCCACCTCCACACGCCCCATTTTTTGCCTCCACGCGCCCCATTTCGGTGATATCCGCCGCCTGGAATGGGTCAAAAATGGGACACACGGAGGCCGAAAATGGGGTGCATGGAGGCGGCGATAGGCGACAGCAGCGATGGGCAGGAGGGGCAATCCCCGCAGCCTGGAACAGGATCATCTTCCTGGCAGTATTCCAGGAGAATGATCCAACCGCCATTCAGTTGCTCTTGCTAAATCAGGCTGTGATGAAGCTGACCAGGCTGTTTGCTGCAAGGAGGCAAATAGCTGGGAAGCAGAGGCTGAAGGGTGGGGACTGGAAGGTGAGCAGGGCTTCGGCAACATTTGCTCTATAAGATGCACAGACATTTCCACCCACTTTTTTGGGGGGGGTGTTTTATAGACTGAAGAATATGGTAATCAGCAGTTAAGGTAAAGATGGTTTGTTGTTGCCTTGGCTTTTCCTTTGGTCCTAACAGCTTTCCAAGAAATGCTTGCAAACCATATGACAAGGAATCAAAATTTATGTCTGACCTTGCTGCTAGCAGCTTAGACTTGGTAAAGAATAAGATGAGATTTAGAACAAAACAGCTAGCATTTAAGGAGCATGGTGAGGTACCCAGGCTAGAACAATCATTGGATAGAGACTGGAGAGTAAACTATGGAGAAAAGAAATAGCTGCAGAGAAGCGCTGGAATCGTGGTAACTGATGGTACTGCAAATACATGCTTGTCTGCTTTTAAGCAACCTTCACAGCCATAGTCCCATTTCATTTTAGTTTAGATAGATTGCGTTTTGACAAAGACAAATTGATACCAATCTTAAGCAGAATCTCTTTCAGAACATCTCGGATTTTTAGAATATATTAGGGCCTATATCTCAAGGAGATCAGTTAACAAAATGTCTATAATATATCAATGTTTCTTATCTCATTTTAGTAATCTTAGTTTTCAAACTAGGAAGTTCTGGGGAGTTTGCTTAAGGATTAACTTTAGCAAATTCAGGAAGTATCATCCTAACATAATCACAAGACAAGACACAAGATTATTGTGTAATAAGTAGAAACATTAAAAGAAAGCTCTCTCTGCTTGTATATACGTGTATACAGATATAATCTGCTATAGTACCTAATTTAAATTACATAAATGTTAAAAGGACTTTATGGGTATGCAAAGCAACCCTGCATGTGTTTGCATATCAGCAGGTCCTACTGAATTTAGTGGACCTTGTACAGTGTAGTTACAACCATTGAATTACACTTTGAATTACATTGCCTTTCTGAGATGCCATGTATATCTAGTTATTTTTTAAGGGACACTTTCAGCAGTAACTTATCATTTAGATCTCTTGTTTCTTCGTACTTCTTGTCAACATTTTTATAGATAGGTAGGTAGAGATTTTAATTATTTATTTTATAGATCTAGGAAGAGAAGAACCAAACAAGCTGGACCACTGTTTTGTCCTAACTCTCTATAGTTTTGGGAAAGGGATGGTGCCTTGAAAGGTTAACTGCTTTTTCCTTAACTATAATTCAGAAGGAATTATAATAAAACACACATTTAAAAATACAAACCTGCCAGGAACAATATAAAACTCGGGGAATTCCCCATATTTGACTGGAGCTTCTATTCAAATAATAAAGGTTTAATAAGTCTTGTTCAAGTTCTGGCAATGTTAATTTCCTCAGGGATCGTGGTTTTGTCAGACTGGTGTAGGGCAGGGTTGGCAGAAGAGCCTGGAGGTATTCAAATTGGAATTAGGGAAAACTTGGTTCAATCCCATCTCACACAATGCTCAAGAAGGCTGGCGTGAGTCATCTCTCAGGGTTGCTATGCAATAAAAATGAGTGATGTATGTACAAAGAAATCCATGACAGCCATAAACATTAGTAGTAGTAGATCTCTTGATGAATACCGATTTGTATTTCAAGAACTTGAATCCCACACACATTGTCATAGCAACAGTCAAGCTATTTATCCCACTCCCACGACCACCCCAACTTAAGATCACAGAAAGGACTAAGATAAAGAAAGAGAAACAGGTGAGTAGATTAGCATGTGAAAGAAGTGAGAATCCCTTTCCCCTCAGGAAACAGGAACTTCGTTACTAATCTTCGTTAATTAATAGCATCCACAGGGGAAGTCAAAAAAGTCAAGATGACAGAAGTATCCTACACCTCTTCTATGTGTTTACATGCTTTATAAAGAGAAGGGGCTTTAATAGCATAGTCATGACTACCAACTTGAGTTTTCTGGGCCTCCTGCAGATGTCACCATTGCTAATTATAGAAAACTAAATTTAGAACTTGAATAAATAGTTAAACATAAACTGCAAGTGTTACACTTAACAACAAAAAAGCCTTTTTGTATTCTAGGAAGTTATGAACAAAGACTGAGCTAATAAGAAATGAAACAAGCACTGTTGGAATAAAAATAGTGCCAGGTACCATCTAGCAATAAATAATTTTTATAAGAGCTTGGATGGGAGCAGAGCAATTTCTAAAACACATACATTTAATTTTTGCTCATAATGAAATTCTAAACAAAAGTTCTATTGTAAACTATAACCAGGAAATCTCCACAACTGATAGTGTTCAGTGTCTACTAATCTAGCAAAGAGCTGCTAACTTTTGCTTTCCCTGGAGAGTTTGGACTATTTGCTATGTAAGGCTACTCTTACTCAGCAGTAAATCTTTCTAAAGGAATATGCATAGAATAGAGACTTAAATTATGGTTACTCCACACGAAAGCTTTTTTGCTCCACAAAGAAACATAATTTAAAAGAAATATAGAATAAAATGAGTATTTATTTAAAAATCACATATTTATTTAAAAGTTTTATTTCTAGGTATGTGAAGTAGGATTTGGATGAATTTAGTCCTCTGCAATATTTTGGAGGGAACTCATGTGAATTTAGTACAAAGTAACTTAATGTAGGGTTTTTTAAACTGTGTTCTGTTCAGTGTTGGGGTTCTTCAAGAACTTGATGAGATTCCATAAGAGACAAAGGTTTTTTTTTTTTTAAATAGCAATTTTTCTAATGTAGAATGGAAAGGGTGGAGCTCATCAGTTAACATTCAGAACCTTCAAATTCTCAGGTAGCATTTGTACTCATGAAGACTCATTACTTTGCCTCTTGATTGGGTCCTGGATTTGTTTTTTTTAACTAACAGATTCCATGGCCTGAAAAGATTTTTTTTTGGGGGGGGGAGAATCCTGGATTAATGCATAAATTTAAAACATAGCTAGAGGGCAAAGGCTGCCAGATCAAAAAGGTATTTTATTTCACTGACCATTTCCTCCAAATGTAGTATGGAATTGTTAATTACACATCATATTAGAACTTTTTTCTCCCAACTCAAATTTCTTCTATCATGTGTTTACAGTTCTTGTCATTACTAGTTGGTCATCTAATGAATGGAAGGAATTCAGGTCTGTAGTTCCACCTTGTGGTTGTTGTACAATATTAGCATTATGATAGTTCTGCTCTAAAGTTAGGAATCCTTTTATATTACTTCATTACGCATATGTTTGAAAAGCACAGTCACTCAATGCAGTGTCACTATCTTACTTCCAATTATCTTTCTTTTGTTCAAATCGAATGTTAAAGGACTGTTTTCAAAACCTTCTATAAATTTTTTTTCCACATTAGCTTTTTGAAAAATAGGGAACTGGGGAAGTCACACTATCATTGCAAGGGGGAAAACTTGCAAGTCTTAATCAGAAGCATGTAAGTTTTTTATGTAGGCTAGATGTTCACATCCTGGGCAAATGCTTGATATCAAAGACCTATAAACATCTAACAAATCCAAGTCATAGGATTTTCTAGATTTTTTTCTTGCTTAGTTTCATAATTCCTAATGTAATAAGCACAGTTTAGACAAAATCATCTATGAAAGATAAGATATTTTTGGACTTTATATCTTCCAGCCTTCAATCTTAAGATTCCCTATATAGATGAAAAGCATAACAATTCAATACTTCCATAGCCGTG